CACGCCAGCCTGCAGGGCCAAAGTGACTCAGAACCGGCAAGGCCCCCAAGGCCCGCCCTTTCCCGCTGACTCAACCCCAATGATTCTAAGGCCCTTTCTCTGGAATTCAGGGCCCCAGGTGGCATTCCCAGGAGGGAGGCTATCTCCTGCTCCGGGAAGCCCCCTCTGGAGATTCCCACCTCAGTTTGAGCTCCTATGGTGGCCTGCTGGGGTCATAGCCGCTCTTGGAAGGAAGGTTGACTACTGACTAGGTAGGCTGGGGCTTCCTTGTGGTGCAGTCTGGGAAACTGAGTCACAGAGGAGCCTGGCATCATGGTTGAGGGAGGTGGCACAGCATGGAGAGGTCAGGCTAGAGAAACCCATATCTGAGCCCTGGCCTACTATGTTTTCTCTTAGTCCATTTCTCCTCCTGCCCCTGTACTAACTCTCACCCCCTAGCCCAGCCCCAGGCCTGTCCCCCACCTCTTAGTTTGGCTCCACACTCAGCCAGGTACACAGATCTCTGTAACTGATTCCCTTGGGATGAGGGTGACTTATTTGTTTCTATTGCCAAGGCTACAGGGCTGGGATGGGGTGAGAGTGGGGGGGACAGATCACCCCTCCTCCCTTCCCCTGTCCTTTCAGCGATCCCACATGTGAGAGATGTAGTCACTTTCCCCAGGGGAAGGGAAGTACCGACTTGTCTTTCTCTTCTGTGCTTCCTGGGGCCCTGGCCTTGGGCCTCAGTTTCCCCAATTAACATAAACTGGTAATCTTACACATCTTTCCAGCCCTGACTCATGTGGTTGGCTGCAGCTACCCTGCCCTCACCCCACTGCCCCCCTTCCTGGAATGGGTCTCAGGGAAGGCCTACCTTATAGAAGCTCGGGTGGGGACACTGGGCAGCAGGGAGGGGAAGGGACATCATTTAGCGACAGGGCTGTGCTGGGCCCCTCATGTCAGCGGGACAGAAAGACTTAGTGATTTGCCTCAGATCACAGGCAGGCATCGTGAGAATTGAGTGCCCAGCAGTCTGGCTCTGTTGTGGGGCAGACTGTCCAAGGAATTGTCCTCAGTCCCAATCCACTCACCAGCCTCCTATGGCTTCGTGCTGTGGGCCAGGCCCTGTCCCGTGCAGTGGCACGCAGCTCAGAATGCCATCCAGTACCACTTCTTAATGAAGAGAAGAGACAACCTGACAAGGTCAGTTTGGGGGCTGGGATGGGGAACACCATAGTCCAGCAGGTGAGATCAAATCCCAGACTTCTGAGTTGCATAAGGACCAGAAAAAGTGCTCGGCCGGGGGTGTCCTTGAATGAACAAAAAAGGGTGTCCCTGCTTGTGTGGGGCTTGTGGCTGTTTGGGGAAGACACAAAAGTATTGTCACGGATCAGAGTGAAAGCCCAAGTCTTGATAATGACCTTCAAGGCCTTTGTGTTCTGTCCGCCACCGGGATCTCCTTCTCCCTCTCTCCTCCCTGGATCATTCAGGCCCACTCCTGCTGATCAAAGACAGGTCCAGGCACACACTGAGGGAGCTCTGTGCCTCCGGGCTCTCATTCCAAGGGAGGTGGCACCCATCTGAGATCTGAATGGCTAGAAGGAGTCCTCCCTGCCAGGCATGGAACAGGTTGGACAAGAGCTCTGAGATGGAAAAAGCGGGTTAGTTCCAAAAATGAATGAAGCTGGAGAGTGAGGGGAGGTGGGGTGGGCAGGGCCTGGGAAAGACTGAATTTTATTCTAAAGTTCTAGTTTGATGGAGAGCTATGGGTTGTTTAAGATGGAAGAGAGACCAAAGGTCTACTTCTGACAGCAGAGTGGGGGATGGGTTGTAGCCCGGGGACCCTGGAGGAGCAGGTTTTAGGTACAGAGTCTGTGGATCAGGAAGTGGTGGGAGGAGGGTCGGTGTGAGGCAGAAAGATAAAATTCCTGGGCTGTTTGACTACAGTTCCGAAGTGGTTAGGGGCTAGGCAATGGGGAGCAGGCTTGGAACCCAGGTACCTCACCTGGGCCCTCCAGAGTCTGGCTACAGAGGGACTTTGAGCTTTCCTTGCAGAGCCTGCTGGAGCAGCCTGGCCTTTCTGAGGATTGTGGGTGAGCTCTTTACCTCTGACCTGGCCCCTCTGCTATGCACTGGTACTGGGAGGAGCCTGGGACAGGTCACTCAGCTGTCTCCTGAGTACTCTGCCGGCCTTCTCCCATGTCATCTTATGTGGGGATTCATATTCCCATTTTACAGATGTAGAAACTGAGAGGGAGGAGAATTGTCCAGAGAGATGTTGATGTTATTAAGTGCCATCAAGTCAGTTCTGACCCATAGTAACCCGGTATATGATTTCTGAGGAGCAGCTGGTGAGCTTGAACCGCTGACTTTGAAGTTCAAATGGCTTTGCAGTCTAGCGTATTAACCCACAGAGCCAGGGCCAAACTCAGGTCCTGGAGCACTTTTCTGCTCCTAGACAGTTCTCTGCTCTAGCAGACAGGGAAGTTGAGGCTCAGGAGGGACAGCACTCATGGGAACAAGCCTAGGATAGAACACAGTTCCCCAGGTAGGAGATGGAGCCCCCTTGTCTCCCAGTTGTGGTACATGTCTTCCTGGCATGAGTGTAGAGAGGAAATAAATGTAGTGGAATACATTGACAATAATGCTCAATTATACACTTCCACCCTCAGTGCTGTGGGCACCAAGGGACCCAGACAGCCAAGACTCATCCAGGCAGCACCTTTGGTGGGGAAGCCTCCTCCTTCTGGCTTAAAGGCATCAAGCTTTAGGCACAGCCTCTGTGTGTGTGTGTGCGTGTGCGTGTGCGTGTGCGTGTGTGTGTGTGTGTGTGTGAGAGAGAGAGAGAGAGAGAGAGAGAGACAGAGACAGAGAGAGACAGAGAGAGACAGAGACAGAGAGAGAGAGAGATTGTGCGTGTGAGTGTGTCCCTAAGTGTGCGATTGTGCGAGTTGTTTGACTATATGCGTGTGAAAGACTGTGCGTGTGAGTGTGACCATAAACATGTGTGTCTGGGAGTGTGTTACCCTCTGTGAGCACGCCTGAGTCGGTATGGCTGTGAATATGTATGACTTGGTGTGAATGTTGTACTCTCTAGAATTGAGCAGCCTCTCCAGGTGGGGGTCAGACACCCAGGGACACTAGTTCCCACCCTGCACAGATCCAGTGCCCACTCACTTCCTTGTCCACTTATCTGCCGGCCCCTTTGTTTCCGTGCCTTTATCTCCAGCCTCTGCTTAGGCTTCTTGATGAGAAAATAATTAACCACAGGCTCATTTTCCAAGCTTCCATTCTGTTCTCCCCGCCAAGTTAAAAACATTCACAATCAGCGGGGGCTGCTGGTGGGAGGAGTCACTCCCTATGGGAGGGCAGCTGGAGGCCAAGGGCACTCCTGGGTGGGCACAGAGAGGAAAGATGTGTGTCTGGGTGCAGAGCTTGGGAGGAGGGGACCAAGAAGTTCTGACGTCACCTCACCTCTGCCTCACTGTGAACTGGAGTGTTTTCAGGCCCTTCCTGAGCCTCTGTTTGCTTCCTCGTTTGTGAATTGAAGAATTTGCACTAGAATTCAGGATTTCCAAAGCATCGCCCCCTGCCTCCCCCTCCCTGGAAAGAAACAGGAGATAGGCAAAGCAAAAATAAAAATAATATAAACTTCGATGCTCAATTAGGTTTGGACAATGACACCAAGACAAAGAAAGTTCAGCGGATTTCTTTACTGTGGAATTACTCAGAGCCTTTAGCACTGTAAATTTTTATTACTTTGGATATGTAATCTCTGTATATGTGCCATCTAATTCAGAAGGACTGGAAGGGGCTGGGGGAGAAGTACACCTCTTTTCTGTACCAGTTGTGCCCCACTGCCCCTCACCTTCAGCAAACACCATTGGCAGTTTCTAGCACATGGAGAGAGGTATGTATCACGTATCAGTACCCACAGTTAAAAATAAAAACATGAACTTTATCTTGGTAAGCAATCCCCAGTTTCCCAAGGGGGCGGGGATGAATGCATCACTTCTCAAATGCTCTAGACTTTGACCACAGAACCCCTCCCCTCTGGTATGCTTGTATGTCTGACATCAGCATCCAGAGGTGAGGTTCCAGGTCTCCACGCTCTCCACACAGTGGTGCCCTGGAGACTCCTTTCTGAGAAGGCTTGAGATCAATTTGGGAAGACTGAGGCTTGGAGAGGACTAACCTTTGCCCAGGTCCTCTAGCAGGTTAGCAGCCTCAGCAGTGCTCCCAGGCAGCTTTGGGGAGAGACATGGGCAGGTTCCTGGAAGCGCTCAGATAAAGGATGTGACCAGGTGTAGGTTATATGGGGGCCATTGGGCTGTGGGTGTGATGGATATTAAGTCGTGTGCAGTGGCACTGTTTTATGTGACGTGTGCCCCTAGGTACCTGTGTGTTACTGTCCGGGCTCAGTGAGAGGCGCGTGTCTTGTAGGGTGGACCTGTGGCTCCCACAAACTAACTTTGTGTGAGTGTGTGTGCCGTGGTTGCGGAGCTGCTCTGCGTCTCCAGGTGGACCCCGGAGTGTGGAGGGTGTGAGCGTGCGTGGCCGGCCCCGCCCCGTGCGCCCGGAGCCCGGCAGGTGTGGGCGGGCCGTCCGGACCCCGCCGCTAAGGGCCGGGAGCGCCGGCGGGAAACAGGAAGCGGGGGGGAGGCGCGGCCGGACGGCCGGAGGCGGGCGTGCGGGCGGACGTGCGGACGGCAGCCGGCGGACGCTGGCCCGGGCCGGGGCGGCGATGTGGAGCGGCCCCGGCAGCCCCGGCGGCCTTGGGGACAGGGGCGGAGTCGGGGACGCCGCCCCCTTGCGCCGGCGGAGCCGCCGCCCGAGCGCAGACCCGGGAGCCCGAGGCGGTGGTGGCGTGTGGGGTGAGTCCCGGGGCGCGGGGCCGCGGAAAAGGGGAGCCGGCGGCGACTGGAGTCCTGGGGCGACGTCCTGCCTCAGAACCGGTAGTCGCCCCCGGATTCGGGCACCCTGCCGACCCCCGCGCGTCTCTTCCCGTAGACCCCGAGGACGCAGCCATGCCGGGCCGGGCCGAGGCGGGGGAGCCGGAGGAGGAAGCCGGGAACGGCTCAGGGTCCGAGGCGGAGGAGGACGCGCTGTGGGAACGGATCGAGAGCGTCCGGCACAAGCTGACACGCGCCCTGAACCCGGCCAAGCTCACACCGTACCTGCGCCAGTGTCGGGTCATCGACGAGCAGGACGAGGAAGAGGTCTTGAGTACCTACCGCTTCCCATGCCGTGTCAACCGCACTGGTGAGTGGGCAGTGCCCGGGGTTCCCCTGTGGCTGACCATGACCCCGGGCGCGGAACCCCGAGCCCTGGAGTGAGCCGGGCCTCCGTCTGCAGATCTGTGAGTGGGCCGATTGGGTGTGCCCAGTATCATGCCACCTCCTGAACCACTATTACGGGTGCAGCAGGTCCACGGTACCCACAGCGGCGCCGGCGTTTTGTCTGTCTTGAGGTTTCTGCCCACTTCCTGGACCCACGGAGAGCAGGAGCTTGGATGTGGTTGCCGGTGCCGAGTAGACTTGGGGCCTTCTTATCACATCCAGCTTATGGGCACCTTTCTGTTCCCTTTGAGCCCTTTGGTTCTATCTCTTCTCAGGTCCCACACACTCTGTGGAGAGTCATTTCTCCTCAAATATCCAAAGTCCATCTCAGAGTTAGGAGGGTCCCATGTCCCACAGGGTGTGACTTTGAACCAGAGCTGCCAAAGGAAGCAGGCTGTAATGGTGAATTTCAGACGGTGGCCACTGAGAGAAATCCTTTCTTTGCTTTTGGGAACGCAGGGGACTTCTCTTTGCTGCTGAAATTATAGCCAGGGTCCAAGGCTGCATTTGCTGGCTCTGCCTCAGTGTGTGTGGAAGGGGCTAGGGGAGTGCTGGGATGTGGGGGGAGAGGGGGACAGTTCTCCTGGCTGTGGCAGGCAGGCTTCCCTCCCTGATGTGTTAGAACAAGCTTCTGTGTGTGTCATTGGCATAAAAATCTGGGGAACGTAGGCCCTGGGGCTTGGGAAGTGGTCAGATACTATAAGAGCCCTCATCTTGACCCATGGCCACCAACACTCCCCAGGGCGCTTGATGGACATCCTGCGCTGCCGTGGCAAGAGGGGCTACGAGGCCTTCTTGGAAGCCCTGGAGTTCTACTACCCTGAACATTTCACTCTGCTCACGGGCCAGGAAGCCGCCCAGCGCTGCTCCATGATCCTTGGTGAGTAGGGCTGGTGGGACTCAGGTGCAATGCAGAGAGCCCTTACTCTGCCCTTGATGGTGGGGAAGGGGGTACTCCCATTATCCCCGAGGCTCACAGAGGGCTGAAGCAGCTTGCCCAAGGCCCCACAGCAAGCCAAGTATGAGGCTGACTCCGGAACCCTGCTAGTCTGGGTTCAAAGCCCCAAAGCTCTGAACGTTGCTTTTTCCTTCTCAATTTATTTTCAGACACATATATGTTGGGTGCACATAAATTCAGTTTCTTGTGTACAACATTCAAACACTAAATATTCAAAAGAGAAAATACACAAATATGTGGGCACTAAATAACATATTATTGAACAACCAATGGGGACAAGACAAAAGCAAGAGAGAAATAGAAAAAAAAAGAGAAGAAACTTCACTTCCCTCAGCTCTGTTCTGCTGGTAACAGTTTTTCGAATCTCCTCTTTCTTTGCATTTATATGCACATGGGATTGTCCTATAGGTGTTGCTCCATATTTTGCTGTTTTTCACAGCAGCTGTTGTTAGTGATTCTTTGCCGTCTGTTACACTTGTTTTAAATGACTGCGTAGTGCTCATTAGTGAAGCTTGGCCATCGTTCATTTTATTGATCCCTTTATTGATGGATATCCGAGTTGTTTCCAGCTGCCTGGGAACATCCTATAGGCATCTGTGCAAACGCAAGTATGCTTTAGGCTGGGTTCTCTAAAGGAACAAAATCAATGAAATGTTGTTAACTGTTGTTGCTAAAATGCCATCGAGCCAGTTCTGACTCATAGAGACCTCTGTATAGGGTTTCCAAGGAGCGACTGGCAGGTTTGAACCACTGGCCTTGCGACCAGCAGTCTAGTATGTTTCCTACAGCATCACACCAAATTAGCAAGTCCCAAATCTGTGGGTAAAGTGTCAGGCGGGAGACTTCTGACTCATGTAGTTTCAGGGACTGACAAACCCAAAATGTGCAGGTCAGGCAGTAGGCTGCTGGCTCACATCCCATAAACTGGTGGTCACATGATGATGAGTTTGGATGCAGGATCGAGAGAGCTTTACCAGAGCTTCCGTATAGATTCGACGCAGGCCGTAACTCCCCAGGAAATCCCTTACATCAGAACACAAAATACTGAGAATCATAGCCTCGACAAGTTGACATATAATATTAACCACCACAGAGAGCCGAGAAGTACCATTCGTCAAATACTATGTGTTGTAAACTTCAAATCAACATACCTTTCACCAGCAATGTGTGAGTACCCACTTTGCTCTATCCTCATGCACCTTGGGGATCGCTTTTAAATATTTTTGCCAGTTTGATACATAAAAACAATGTACATTTAATTGTTTTAAATTTGTACTTGAGAAATGCAGTTCACAGCTTACTAACTAGTGAATCTTGGGCAAATAGCTTGACCATTCTGTGCCTCAGTTTCTGTTTTTAAAATGGGTATAATAGTGGCTCTCTAGGTCTGGTAGCGTAGTGGTTACGAACCTCAAGGTCAGCAGTTCGAAACTACCAGCTGTTCCGCGGGAGAAAGATGAGGCGTTCTGCTCCCATAAAGATTTACAGCCTCAGAAACTGTGTACAGGGTTGCTATGAGTTGGAACCGACTCCAACCAACACACACAACAACAGGATTAGTTAGCACTTGATTGCTAACCACAAAGTGGGCAGTTCAAACCCACCAGCTGTTCCTTGGCTCCTTGGCAACCCTATACAGAGTTGTTATGAGTCAGAACTGACTCAGGGACACTTAACAACAACACAATAGTACTTACATTAGAATGATGTCATGAAGATTGAATTAATTCATATATGCATCTAATACAAAGTATGAATCAACACATGTTACTGGTTACTGTTATAATTGCTGCTCAGTTTGAGCATATTTTCCTTTGTTTGTTGTTGTTGTTAAGTGCCAGAGAGTCAGTTTCAACTCATAGTGAGCCTGTGTAGGATTTCTGAGGAGCAGTCCTACGTAGAGAGCTATGGGACTTGCTGATTGATAGTTCTTAGCTTATTTCTACTAGATTGTTGCAATTTCCTTATTGATTTGTGGTGGTGGTGGTGATTATGAGCCGTGGAGTCAGTTCTGACTCACTACGTCCCTGCATAGGGTTTCCGAGGCTGTAAGTCTTTACGGGAGCAGAAAGCCTCATCTTTCTCCCACGGAACAGCTGGTAGTTTCAATTTGCTGACTGTGAGATTAGCAGCCCAAGTCATAACCCCTACGCTACCAGAGCTCCTTTATTGATTTGTAGGAGCTGTTTTTATAAGGTGGCTCAGAACCCTTTGTTAATATAAATTGTGAATCTTTTCTTCTTCTCTTGTTACTTGTCTTTGAACTTTATTGCGTCTTTACCATTCAGAGGTTAACTGTTCTTATTTTTTAAACATGCATTTACCCTTCTTTTTTCTTGAAGCTCCTGGATTTTGTAGTCTGTGTAGGAAGGTCTTTCCTACCCTTAAAATTGTTAAAACATATTCCAGAATTTCCTTGTAGTGCTTTTATGTTTTTTTGTTCGTTTTCAGTGCAAGCTCCTATCCCCCTAACCTGAATTTTCTCTGCCCTGTCCCTGGCAGATGAGGAGGGTCCCGAGGGCCTGACCCAGTTCCTAATGACGGAGGTGAGGCGGCTTCGGGAAGCTCGGAAGAGTCAGCTGCAACGGGAGCAGCAGCTGCAGGCCCGAGGACGGCTGCTGGAGGAGGAGCGGGCAGGGTTGGAGCAGCGGCTACGGGAGCAACAGCAGACTCAGGAGCGCTGCCAGCGACTTCGGGAGGACTGGGAGGCAGGCAGCCTGGAGCTGCTGAGGCTCAAGGACGAGAACTACATGATTGCCATGCGCTTGGCGCAGCTCAGCGAGGAGAAGAACTCGGCTGTGCTGCGCAGCCGTGACCTGCAGCTGGCGGTAGGTCTCGGGAGGCAGCTGGGGCAGGCTGGGAGGGGGCAGAGTGTGGAGTCCCGGTGTGGTGCTGTGCGATCAGCACTGGACTGCCAACCACAAGTCCGGTGGTTCAAACCCACCAGCTGCTCCTCAGAAACGCTATACAGGGTTGCTGTGAGTCAGAACAGACTCCACGGCACTTAACAACAGCAGTAATATGGTAGCCAGAGGTTCCTTGGTAGCATAATGGGTTATGTGGTGAGCTGTTAACCACATGGTCAGCAGTTTGAATCCACCAGCCACTTCTTGGGAGAAAGATGAGGCTTTCTGCTCCTGTAAAGATAACATAGCCTTAAAACTCCTATATGGGCACACCACCACTACCACCACGGTAACCAGCTCCCCTAGAGTCACCACAATCCGGGTATTTGATGATGAGCAAGTCACTTGGGCTTCGGTTTTTATCATCTGTAATTTGGGAATGTTGATAGCACTTATTTATTGGTGGTTAACAGTAATTCTCCAGTTGCCCTGTGGAAACACTTGTCCACGTCTGAAAGCATTTTGGGTTATTACACCGGGGTGTAGGGGGGTGGGGGGGATGCGGCTGCTGCAGAGGCCAGGGATGCTTAGAAATATCCTACCGTGCACAAGACAACCCTCCACAACAAAAAAGCATCTGGCCCCAAATGGCCCTGGAGCTAAGATAAAGAAACCCTGGGCTATGAGAAGCCGGTGGGTTATGAGTTTACGGTGGGCTTTGCGTAAACTGCTCGCGTTTGTTTTTGACATTAGTGCTGACTGGGTTCTGTGCTGTGTACACGCTTCACCTCACCTCCTCCTCACTGAAGCTCAGCACTTGCTTCTCAATTCAAAATACTTGTATGGAGGCTCAGAGAGTTCAGAGGATCTGCTCAAGGCCACCCAGCTGGGACGTGCACAGCCCGAAGTTGACCTAGGCCCTTCTGGCCACAGTGCTGACCACGAACAAGGATGCTGTTCTGCCTTCTCACCGTCTGGGTGAAATCTCACTTGTTTCTCGGCTCAGCTGCCATTGGGGCCTCTTTTGGCCCCGAATGCTGTTTAATTTGCTTTATGGATTGGATTTAGCACGGGGATAACATTGGTAGTCATTCTACTGCGGTGGGGAGTTGTCCTGAGGATTTAACAGGTGAGTCCAAGTCAAGGGCTTACTTCCCAGGAATATTATTGCGCTTCTCCAGTGGGACTTGGACTGTGGAATTTGAGCCTTGGGCTTTGGATGCAGTGTTGCAGGGGGTAGTGTGTGTCCACGTTGACATTTGGCATATATGGAGCTGTAGGTGTGTGACTCGGTTCCTGTGTGTGTCTGGGCAGGTTGGAGTCTGGAGGAAGCAGGGTGACACGCCACATGTGAAAGGGCCCAGGCAAGCATGAAGCTATTGTCTGAGGGTCACCTTGCGGTTTGGCCTGAGGTGGAGGCTCCCTGAGGCTGGCAGACTGGCTGCAGATTGAATGAGGTGTGCCTGGCAGGGTGAACAGCATGGGATGGACAAGGATTCCCTCTCTGTGCCTCAGTTTACTTACCTTTAAAGTAGGATGTCGATAATGAGGATGATACACAAAACCCAGGCATCAGGCTGCTAACCACAGGTCTGAAGTCGAAACCCATTGGCCGCTTGGTTGGAGAAAGATGAGGCTGTCTACTCCTGGAAAGATTTCCAGTCTTCGAAATCCTATGAAGTGTCTTTATGAGTTGGAACCTACTCAGTGGTAGTGGGTTTGGTGTACCAGGCAGGGTCCTCAGGCTTGTGTCCACAAATGCCTTTAATTTCCAACGATCCTATAGCAGTGGGGACGCACTGTTATCTTCCCTGTGTATGGATGAGGAAATTGAGGCACAGAGCTTGGCGAGGACATGTTCCCAGGGCCCCTAGATTGAGCAGTGTTGGACTTTGTTTTTGGCATGGCGGATGGGGAGAGGGGGTGGCGGCTTGGAAGAGCTACGATTCTTCTCTCCTCACCCACTGGGGTTCCTCCTGAGCTGAGACACACATGGGCTGGCTGGGACCTTTCTCAGAGGAAGGGGTTCTGCTGTTCAGCTCCAACTGCGTGGTGTGGTTGGGAGAGGCTGAAGCTGCCACACCTTGTTGCACCTTTAGCTCAGGTGTGCGTGTGATTTGGGATGAAGACCAAGGCAGTTGGAGGTGCCGCTGTAGGTGGGGGTAAACTAGTCTGCCACTAGAATCAGACAGTGGCTGCTTTTCCCAGTTGGGAGGCTGGGCAGGGAGGGGGTAGAAGATAAGTGAGAAAGTTAAGTGAATAAATAAGCTTTTAAAACAATTTATAACATAGTTAACCAGTAATGTGTGCTGAACTTGGAGAACTGCTCCGTAGGGTTTTCAAGACTGTGACCTTCAGAAGGAGATCCCCAGATATGCCTTTCAAGGTGCCTATGGGTGGGTTCGATCTGCCAGTGTTTCACCTAGTAGTCAAACGGTTAGCCATTTGTGCCACCCAGGAACTCCATGTACCAGTTGCTGAATAGGCAAAGATTTTGTTGTATATCTTCACCACCTTAATGACACAGGAAAAACATTTTACCACTGTAAATTCACCTTACCTTCTCAGTGCCTTTCTGCTACAAATTTGCAGTGGAGTTGCAGATGGCTGTGAATGGAACAGCTGATGGAGCCTGGCTTGTCAGCTTGGGTCCCCTCCCCATGGACAGGTGTGCCTGCGGCTGCGATTTAATACGGTGTTTTATAAGGTGCAAATTTAATGAGCGGTTCTTTCTAAGCAATATAAATTTAAGGAACGAACGCTATAATTTCGTGCTAAGTGAGTTTGTGCATCAGGATTAAATGCTTCCGCATTTTCTAGTGTGTGGTGGAGACTCGGTTGCCCTGTCTCCTGAGCTCATGGGGTAGAGTGGGGCGGGGGGAGTGGGGGGAGAGGGAGTGAGTAGGAGAGTGGTGCAGCCAGCTGGCCAAGGGGTGAACAGGAGGCTGGGGGGTGTGGCCATAGTTGTCTTTCTCTGGCAGTTCACAAAGCATATTTGGTGAGTGGAAAGGAATGCGGAGTCAGACCTTTCTCTCTGAGTCCTCCGCGGAGGAGGAATGGACTGTTTAATTCGTGGACCTGCCTACCCCTTTGTGTGTGCGTGTGTGTGCTTGTATGTGTTGCCATACTCTGCTCCGAGGGTGGGGGCTGCAAGTCATTTTTCAGGACAGGTCAGGGACACTCAGAGGTCACCAGGCCTTGGGTGTGTGCCTGAGGGCAACCCCTGTGAGAGGTCCTTGTGACTTTTCCCAACACTGACTTTATTTCATGGCCTGTCACCTGCTGCTACTCTTGTCTGGTCACCTCCGGCCTTGGGTACATTTGGAAAGTGATAACCCCGGTGGAGAGGGCTGAGAGTCCAGCCAGCAGACTGGCTGTGCATGTCCGCTCCCAGCCCGGCAGCCTCCACACAGCCACTCCAGGCTCTGGACACATCCACTGAGCTGGTAACAGTCGGGGCTCGGGGACTTTCTCATAGTCACTCTCCGGCAGCTCTCTGGCTGCACCTTTACAGCCTGAAGGAGTCTTGCAAACAACTTTGCGAAGCAGACAGTGGGGCAGGAGATCCACTGGGCCCATTTTTTTTCGGGGGGGAGGTGTGTGTATTGAAAATATGCACAACAAAACATACACAAATTCAACAATTCTGCGTTCTCCTGAGTGTCTCAGCTAACCTGTCAAGTTGCCGTTGTCAATTTGATCTGACTGGACTCAGCTGAGGAAACTGAGGTTTTCCTAATTTTTTTGTTAGGAATTTCTTTTAGGGAGGTTGAGACTCTAAGCTGCTCCTAAGCATGCGTTGAGCTGGGAAGGGGACATCCTGGCTCCTAGTATCACTTAGAAAGTTTCAGTCCTGGGCTTGGTGAGACCCTCAGAACCAGTACTCGCCCACCTCCCATGCCCTGGGTGTAGATGAGGAAACTGAGGCACCGAGAGGGGCCATGACTTGCCGAAGGTCACACTGAGTTACAGGCAGAGTGGGGCCCAAGCTCTGGCTTCTCCTGTTCTTGGTCCTGCTCCCTCATGTTGATATTTGACTAATTGACTATACAGGTAGTCCCCAATTTACAGTGGGTCCGTTCCAACAAACCTCTTGTCGTTAAATCCATCCTGACATAAATACCTCTTGTTTTAAAGTTTTCCTTATAACTGCCTTTATTATCAATATCTTTGTAAATCTCATCCCTGTTTAGCTTTAGGGGTTGGAAACATTACATATAAAATTACATATGTGTTTTAGTATATTTGCATATGTAAAAAACACACTAATTACACAAATACACAACAATGTACACAGACAATGAAGAAGAGTTGAGCCATGTTGGCATTTTGTCATTTGTGGTAGTATCTTCACTAGCTCTGGTAGCGTAGTGGTTACGAATCGGGCTGCGAACCTTAAGGTCAGCGGTTCGAAACTACCAGCCGCTCCTCGGGAGAAAGATGAGGCTTTCTACTCCCGTAAGGATTTACACCCTCGGAAACCCTGTACAGGGTCGCTATGGGTCGGAACCGACTCGACGGCACTTAACAACAACAACAACATCTTCACTTGTGGAAGGTTCTGGATCATCCCTGGGAATGAAGATGACCTTTCCAGGGAGAATATTAGTGAGATTGATCTGCTATGGTCCTTTCCTTTTATCTTCCTTATATTTCACCACCTCCTGAATTTGCCTGTTGACTTGAGGGAATCAAATTGCATTTGGGTCCATGTTTTCAAGCATTTAAACATGCCCTGGATTTAATTTAGAAAAAATCCTCTAGCTAATCCTTTGGCTATACCATTTTTTTTTTTTTTTGTCAGTGGCTCTCCTTCCTCTTCCTCATTATCTTGTTCTTCAGCATTTTTTTCCTCTTCAAAATCCATTAAGCCCTTATCTGTAGATTCCCCTTCTTGTATATAATACGTGTACTCACAATAAGAAAAAAAACCCCAGAGCGTCCTAAGTGTGGGGTCAAATATGTTGTAAGCTGGGGTTACCTGTTCTGTGTCAGAATTGTGGGACAGACAGGATATTGTGACCAAGCACATCTACCCCCAAATCCTTCAAGATGACAGTCCCGGGGAGGAGGGTGGCCTTGCCCTTGCTGTCCTCCCTCCTCTTCTCATGTTTGTCCCTTCTCCGCAGTTAAGTCTGGGAAGGACACCTGCTCTCGTCCCTTGGAAATCTGGGAGGTGCCCAGGAGTGAGGGAACTGGCCTTCCTGGTGGCTCCTGGTCTGCCATCCCTGCCACCCTCACCCCCCAGCTGACGTGTGTCTTGGGCCACAGGTGGAGCAGCTCAAGCTCAAGGTGAGCCGACTGGAGGAGGAGTGTAGCTTGCTGCGCAGAGCCAGAGGGCTGCTCCCTGGGGTGGAAGAGAAGGAGAAGGAGGCAGACAGCGTGGACCTGGTCTCTGAGCTGCGTGCTGAGAACCAGCGGCTGACGGCGTCGTTACAGGAACTGCAGGAGGGCCTGCAGCAGGTACCAGGGTGATGCAGGAGGGGCCTCGGGGGCCTGGAAAGGTGACGATTCCAGATATGGGTGTCTGGGGTCTGCTGAGTACAGGGTCAACTTTCCTGGGTATTGGCTCTGGGCAGACCTCGTGGAGGTCTCTGGTGGTGGTAGTGGTGTGCCATGGAGTCGGTTCCGACAAATAGTGACCCTGTATAGGGTTTCCGAGGCTGTTGGGAGCAGAACGCCTCATCTTTTTCCCGTGGAACCACTGGTAGATTTGAACTGCTGACCTTGAGATTAGTAGCCCGACTTGTAACCACTATGTTCTGAACTCACTGAAACGGGGCACATCCTTTGCTTTGTGAGTATTTTTCTGGGACAGAGGTCCCCAGCTCACTTTTGATTTTTAGGGTCGTTAGCAGTGAGGTTGGCCCAGGATCAGGCAGTGTTTCGTTCTGCTGTGCATAAGGTCGTTATGAGTCGGTGCTGACTTGATGGCACCTGACAACAACAACAAATGATCCCAAAAAAGGAGCTCTGGTAGCGTAGTGGTTAGGAATCAGCTGTTAACCTCAGAGTCAGCAGTTCGAAACTACCAGCTGTTCCACGGGAGAAAGATGAGGCTTTCTGCTCCTGTAAAGATTTATAGCCTCGAAAACCCTGTACAGGGTCGCTATGGATCGAAACTGACTCCACGGCACATAACAACAACAACAATGATCCCAAAGGAGTCTCTGGATAGTACACAGCCAGTTAAGTGCTCAGCTGCTAAACGAAAGGTTGGAAGTTTGAGTCTTCCCTGAGGTGCCTTGGAAAAAAGGCCTGGTAATCTACTTCTTAAAAAAAAAAAAAATCAGTCCTAACCCCCTTCCAAGACTAAGACTCAACAGAAATACACGCTCTGATTGGTGACCACACACATCACCGATGGGGGGAAGTGGGGTAAAAGCAGCAATGAAGTGGCAAGCTCAGCCCTACAATCCCTGCAATGTTCAGTGGACTTCTGTGGACCCAGTTGGGGACCTGGTTGGCAAGCAGTGTGAAGAGGCCTGGGGACTCTTGGGCCCAGAGTCAGTGGCGTGGCCACGGAAGACTTGAGAGGAGAGTGGAGCCACCGGCTGACGGGAAGAGAGGACATATGCACAGGAGCGCCCACACTTGCAGATGATACCCACGTGACCTGGACCGGATGACTGGATGATTGGAACTCAACCAGGAGAGGAAAGAAGAGGGGAAAAAAAAAAAAGAGTGAGCGGATACAGTCTGATGAACTTGACCTATACCTTTGGAGCAGCGACTCAAAAGAGGGAACAAATCCTTACAGCAAGAAACATTCACACACACACCCCCCACACAGAGTGGACGGAGAAGGGCAGCTTGGACATTGGATACTCAAATGGGGATGAGGGGACTACAAAGGCAAGAAAAAAACTCCGTCCTGGAAAACCTGATGGGGCACAGTTCTACTCTGACACACGTGGGGGAGGGGAGGTGGTGCCATGAGTCCGAGTCCACTGGATGACAGTTGATGAGTTCTTCTTTGTGATCCGAAAGAGTTAAGATCCCTGAGGTCTGGCTAGCCCCAGGGCTTCCTCAGTGGTCTGTGGCAAATCCATGGCAACATGGGCCTGCCTGTTACTTATTGCTTCCCTGCCACACAGGAAGGGGGGTGGGTGGGAACCAGGGCTCTGGTGTATTTCATGGGGTGTGAGGTGTCGGTCTGGGGGCTGGATCTTGGGGCGGGAACAGGCTCTGGAAATAGCTACTTTTGTGCTGCCCTGAGCTTTGGGTAGGGGCCTGAGCAAGGGAAGGGCCTGATTCTTGTTAAGAGCAAGATCTGGCTGAGCTGGCTAGAATACACCCTCTCCCTCATCCACTTACTCCAGCTGCTCCATGGGGGCTGGGCAGGGCTGGTTCATCCACTCCCACTCAGTGTAGGTCTGAGAGATTAAGGTCCTTGGTGGAGGCAGCAGAGCTAGCGGGGTGGGTGTGGGGGCTCCTGGTGTCCTCTCCTCTTCCTCTTCATACTCATGACAGTCCTGAACTCTGACCCCAGGAGGTAAACCGGCCGGGAGCCCCAGGCTCAGAGCGCATCCTTCTGGACATCTTGGAGCATGATTGTCGGGAGGCACAGGACAGCAGGCAGGAGCTCTGCCAGAAGTTGTACGACATTCAGGGCGAGTTGCAGTGGGCAGAGGGACTGCGGGACAAGGTCAGTGTGCCCTGCCCCCCACCCGGTCCTCCAAGCCACCTCCTGCTTCTGTGGGGGGTACATTCTAATAGGGAAACAGAACCCCACATGCAGCTGATGAGAAATCTGTCCCTCTGCGCAGTAGAAGATGTTATTGTTGTTGTTAAGTGCCATCAAGCTGGTTATGACTCAGCGACCGTGGGTTTGAACTGACAACCTTGTGGTGTATCCTGTGGGAAACCCAGAGCCGGGGCTGGGGGCCGGAGGCAGGGGGCAGAGGGCAGGATGCCCTTTAAATAGCCTGGTGGGTGTGGTTAAGTGTGTTATCACACCCTTTGGAGGAACTAGACAGCTGTGACCCAGTGAAGTAACATCAGTGGCCCAGACCACCCTGCTGGAGAGTTGGCCGATTCAGTTTGGCCTCAAGCCTGTCCGACCACAGAGCCCAGCCTTTCCCTCTCCCTACTCTCCCCACTGCACATGCTCACTCTGGGTCTGACTGGTCCCTCGGCTGGCCCACAGTACCTGCAGGAGATGGAGGACCTGCGGCTGAAGCATCGCACGCTGCAGAAGGACTGTGACCTGTACAAACATCGCATGGCCACCGTCTTGGCCCAGCTGGAGGAAATTGAGAAGGAGAGGGACCAGGTAAGCCCCAGACTGCCATGCACCATGGGATGCAGGAGAAGCAGGCAGGATGGAATTGTGGGAAAAAGTTGTAGGCTGCTGATGGCTTGGGATGGGATAGATGAGCCAAGGAAACACTCAGACACGCGGCCTGAGGGCTCAAGATCTGCCGACCTGGAACACACCTGCCTCACCTGTTACTTTGATTTCTGAGACCCTGGTGTGGCACCGAGGATAAACCCTGGATTTTGAGCCCCAAGATTAGCAGTTAGACTCTGCCACTACCCTGCAGGAGAAAGATGAGACTTTCTGTTCCTATAAAGATTTGCAGCCTTGGCAATCCAGGGTCTCTGTGAGTCAGAGCTGACAATGGCCGTGGGTTTCTGAGCGTGTGCTCTGTGATCCAGGACAAGGCCTGCACAGCAGAGAAGCTGGCAGACAGATCATGCTGCTGAAAAACTTCTCCTAAGTTCTCGCTTCCAGTCCCTGGACACCAGGGCCTGGTCTGCTGAGGCCAGGGAGTGGGGTGAGGCCTCCAGCTCTCTGTGTGTCAGGCTCCTTACTAGAAAAGAAGAGTGGGAGGTTTTGTCCTCGGACCAGGTTCAGACCCAGCATCTCCACTAGAGAAGCTGGAGCCTACAAGTGTTCAGGGGCCACAGCATCCCCATGTGAAATCGGTGAAAAGGCCACTTTGGGCCTTACCCCCAGACATTCTGATTCCGGGTTAGGGTTGGGACCCAGGATCTCAGCATTTCACCAGGCTGGTGCCAGCCCTAGCTCCCTCTGTGGCAGTGGTGGCAGGTCTGCGCCATGAGCCAGTCCTCGCAGGGATCCTGGCCTCCATGTGGAAAAAGTGCTTAGAATGCACCCAGCTGGGCTTCAGTGCTGCTTCTTCACTAACTGGGTCTCACAGGGGAGTGTCCGCTTCTTTATAAGTGACAGGAGCTTGGACTTTACAAGGAGAATAGAACTTGGGTTTAAGCCCCCACCTATCTCTGCTGGCGGTGTCTGTCTCTCTGTCTCTCTCTTTCTCTCTCTCACACACACACACACACCCTACCCCACCCCCTCACCCCAGCCTCAGTTTCTTTGAACTCCTAGAGCTATTGTGAAGACAGAATGAGCTGATATTAGCCCAGCGCCTGGCACACAGGAAGTACCCAGTACATGTTAGAAACTCTTACTGTTGGTCTCAACCATACCAACCGTCACAAAGATGGCATTTTATTCTGGTATCTGAAAGACTGCCATGAGTCAGAGCTAACTCGAGGGCACTCAACACAACATCAGTTCCTACTGTTATCACCCCCCAGGCCATCCAGAGCCGGGACCGGGTCCAGCTGCAGTACTCCCAGAGTCTCATTGAGAAGGACCAGTACCGTAAGCAGGTGCGGGGCCTGGAGGTGGAACGGGACAAGCTGCTGACCACACTCACCAGCCTGGAGGGCACCAAGACCCTGCTGGAAGCGCAGTTGCAGCGGATCCAGGGCGGCCCCTGCCTCAAGGTGAGCAAGTGGATCCTGGTCTTACTCCTGGATGACAGAGACCGCTGGGGTCCTGGCAGGGGCCCTGGGCTGGAGTGGGAGAGTTCAGCTGGGTGTACGAGCAGGCAGAACCCGGTGGCAGGCTTTGCCTGGGGGTAGGGTGTGTCCAGTGGACAAGCTTGGCTGTCCTACAAGAAAAGCTGTGGGCCCTGGCAGGCGTCCTCACCCTGGGTTAGGAGCACGCTGGTCTTGGAGGGAGCTCTCTGGCAGGGCGGGGAAGGTAGGTCCTGGTGAGAGCCCTCAGCTGGAGTGGGTGCCCAGGCTGGGGTGGGTATGGGTTGTTGGATCAGCGAGTGATGGGGCATGTGTGCCTCTCAGTTTCCACGGTTGCTCCTGGGCACTGAGAATACTGGCAATGTCTCTTTGCATGCCCTTGGGGAAGGCTGGCTGCACCATGGCTGCGGAACATTCTAGAAACCCAAAGCTTCTTGGAGTCCAACTAGCACAGGAGCTTATGGGCTCACATAGCCAGGCAGCACTGGAGCCCCAGCCCAGACCCTGGTAAACACTGGCCCTCAGGTGTCTCTGGCCGCTCTGCTTTTCCTGTTTGGGATTTGCTTGAAGTGGGATTCAACCAGTCAGATGTTTGGGGCAATGAGGCCTGGAGGAACAGAATGAAAAAAGTGTGAGTCTCCACTTTCCCAGGTTTTAAAAATCTCTCAGTGGCTCTTCTTGTTGTAAAGTGCCATTGAGTTGTCCGACTCATAGTGACCCAATACAGAGTTCCCGAGGAGTGGCTGGTGGGTTTGAACCGCCAACCTTGAAGTTAACAGTTGAGGGCTTATCCAGCAGCACCATACCAGGACTCTTAGCTACAGACAAAGGCCCTCATCCTGCCTACAAGGCCTGTGGGGTGGGCCCCTCCGGTTTTTCAGCCTGGTTCTCTGGGTTTCAGCTGTACTGGCCATTTATCCCTGAAGGATGTCATAATGCTGCCCCGGGGACTTTATGTTTGCTGTTCCCTCTGTCAGGAACATCTTCTTCTAATGTGCCCACTCAGCACCTACTTACCCTTAAGTTTCAGCTGAAACCCTGAGTTCTCTGGACCAGCCTCCCAGTTCCCCAGGCCTTCTGGCCTCAGGCACATTCTTCCCTGCCTCCCTTCCTCCCCATTATAGTTGCTTCTTGTTGTTGTTATGTGCTGTGGAGTCGGTTCTGAACAGGGTTTCTGAGGCTGTAAATCTTTATGGGAGCCGAAAACCTCATCTTTCTCCCGTGGAACGGCTGGTAGTTTCGAACTGCTGACCCTGAGGTTCACAGCCTGATTTGTAGCCACTACGCTACCAAAGCTCCATTGTAGTTACTTAGTGGATTCCAACTCATGGGGACCTCATGTGTGTCAGAGTAGAACTGTGCTCCATAGAGTTTTCAGTGGCTGATTTTTTTTAGAAGCAGTTTGCCAGGCCTTTCTTTAAAGCACCTCTGGGTAGATTTGAACCTCCAGCTTTTCGGTTAGTGGGAGAACTTCTAACCATTTGTACCAGTGTCTTCATCTGTTGGCTTGTTTACAGTGGGTCTTCCCCATTGAACTGTGAGCAACCCCAGGGCCATGGTCTGGCTCCGTTTCCTTTGCACCCTAAAAAGTGTTAAGAGAGAAGGTGGCTAGTTTAGGCTCAGCCCTGCTGACCCCTTCCTGCTTTCCTCTCCCAGGCCTGCACCTCCTCCCACTCCCTTTGCTCCAACCTCAGCAGCACCTGGAGTCTGAGCGAGATCACCTCCCCTCTGGGGGCCCCAGACACAGTTGGGGAGGTAGCTGTTGCCGGGGGATCTGAGCCTCACACCTCGGTATGACACCCACTTGCCCCAGATGGTAGGGGAGGGGGATGCTGGTGACCTTTATATATTTACTAAGATGTAGATGCATTCCAGTTTGTTGATGGCCCCATTTAACAGGGAAGAGACTGAGGCCCAGGGAGGCTAAATGCCTAAGTTAAGTTGACGCAGAGTCAGCTTGGGGTTGAGCCTGGGTGCCGGGGAACCTTGGATGACCCTCACATGCTGTGATCTTCCCAAGCCCACACCCTGCTCTGGATCATAGTCCCATTTGTGGGGCTTTGATGTCAGAGAAGGTACTGGACCACTGAGGTGACCCAGGCTCTGGTGTGATATCGCAGGAAGAGGCTGCCGACAGTGAGAAGGAGATCAACCGGCTCTCCATCCTGCCCTTCCCTCCCAGCGCCGGCTCCATTCTCCGTCGGCAGCGTGAAGAGGATCCCGCACCCCCTAAGAGGTACACAGGGAGAGCAGTAGGGGTCCAAGGAGGCAGGGCTGCTGTTTCCCGAAAGTTCTACCTCCCAGCTTCCCCAGTAGTCAGATCCAGGCAGTTCTCCCTCCTCCCCCTTTATTGTCCATCAGCAGCTGGAGCTCAGGAAACCCAGGCCCCATGTATCCTCCAAGTGATGAGGTCAGGGCTGCAGACAGGCCACAGAGCAGAGTGGGCTCAGCTCCAGCCCAGCCCCAGCAGGAGCACCGGAATTTGAGCCCTGAAGAACCTAAACCCAAGGAGGACGAGATGTGGTTAAGGATTGGGGAACACAGACTCGGGGGTCAGGGACTCAGGCCCCAGGGACCAATCCCTGTCTGCTGGTGGCAAGACCCAGGGCAGGCGATACCCCACACTCCTTCCCTTGGCAAGTGCCCTCGTCTGAACGCTGGGCATTGGGATGGTGATCTGGGGTGGGGGGGTTCACCCCTGAACAGAGGGGTGACTGTGCTGCCACAGAGGTGGGATCAGTAGTTGGGGAGACAGACCCAGGCACCACGCATGGTAATTCAAGGTAGATCACCAGAGCGAGAGTCCAGTGAGGCTCCCAGGACGGGTTGTTGGAGCTGCTTCAAGGCCAGGCTAGGGATGGGGGCACTCTAGGTGGACGAATCTGCAGTGTGACCTGAGGGTTAGCTTCTTGCCCTGTGAGTTCAGGGGACAGGAGGCCCCAAGTGTGACTCGGACCCCTGCCTGGGGTCTGCCTGCATTTACTTGGGGGCTGAGGGCCTTGCAATGCCTGCTGTACCTCATCTCTTGTCCCCTCACCTTCTCTCTGGCCAGGTCCTTCAGCAGCATGTCTGACATCACAGGTAACGTCCTTTCCAACTCCCGGGGAAGGGTCCACTGGGGGGAGTGGCTTTTAGCCCTCCTGAGACCTCGGCCACTGGCTGGTTCCACCTGAGGTGCTCTAGATGAGGGCAAAGCCCTGGAAAAGACTAGCATGTGTCCCATTCCCTGAGACCACAGTGGGTTCCTGAGGCAGTTGGTCCCCACCACTCACCCTGAGCCCAGTCTTAGCCACACTGCAGTCTGGGTTGTGCTCCCTAAACCCTCCTCAGAGTCCACCTGCTTCTACCCTTCCCGAGGTCACTCCTGCGTTGTTATCTCGTCTCAGGCACCCTGGGTCTCTCTGTTTCTCAGTCCGGGATTCCTGAGACTCATTCTTCCTCCTTAGGGAGTGTGACACTTAAGCCCTGGTCCCCCGGCCTGTCCTCATCCTCATCCTCTGACAGTGTGTGGCCCTTGGGAAAGCCCGATGGCCTTCTGGCCTGGGGCTGTAGCTTGGATCTCCTCAACAGGTACGGCAGCTGCCTGGGGTGGGAACTGGTGGGCTTGGGTGAACAGCGTTGAGGTGGAGGGAGTAGGTAAGCCTTTGCCAGAGTAATGACGTCTTTAGGCATAGACAGAACTTGGGTTTAAATCCTGTCTGTGTGATTTAAATCTCTGGACCTCAGTTTCCTCATTGGTGCAAGGGGGACAAGCAAGGATCTATTTTTTTTTTGAAAAAAAAGAAACACCTTTTATTGTGAATCAAGTGAAGGTTTACAGAGCAGATCATTGGTTTTACATGAAAAAAAAATCACACACTTTGCTTCATACTAAGATTGCAATGCCCTCCATGTACAACTGTTAACAGTATTTACTTCTATTCACTGTAACTGGTGCATTCTCCCTGTGTCTCTTACTACCTGAATCTGTCCTCGCTAACCTCCCTCTTGTATATTGCCTGCCCCATGTCACCCATGCTATCCTATGTCTGCCCTAAAGCCTCTGAATAATTTTCTTTCCTCCCTCCTCTCTCTAACCATTCATTATACGTTGTTTCTTTTATCAATAAAACCTTTTCTTAACTTTTGACAACATTGGTCTCATACAAGATTTGTCCTTTTGTGACTGACTAATTTCATTCAGCGTTATGTCCTCCAGGTTCATCCATGGTGTGAGGTGTTTTGCAGATTCAGTGTTGAAGAGGTTTCGCTTTATCATTGTGTCTAATCGTATTCCATTGTGTGTATGTACCAAAGTTTGTTTGACCATTCTTCTGTTGTTGATGGGCGTTTAGAATGTCTCCATCTTTTTGATGTGTTTTTTTGAGACAACATTTTGAAGGATCCTGTTTTCTTATCTATTCTGCTCTGCAATAATCTCTTCTACGTGTGAGTGTTTTGAGGTTTCTGCTTCATGGAATTAAAACCCTTAGCTCTGCCAGGCACACAGTAAACCAAAAGTACAGCTGTCGAGTTGATTCCGATAGAGTAGAAATGCACCATAGGGTTTGAAAGGCTGTGGTCTGTATGGAAACAGACCACTACATCTTTCCTCCCGTAGAGTGGCTGGTGGACTTGAACTACCAGCCTTTGGGCTAGGAGTCAAATGCTTAACCACTGTGTCACCAGGGCACATAGTAGGTGCTCAGTAAGTGGCTGCCCCTTTATCACGTCCCTGTGAGCCAGGCCTCCCAAGCTCAGAGTTCTGGCAGGACTGAACTATCCAGCAAAGCCCTGTGAATGGGGCTGGGCTGTGAGTGACAGGATACATCAGCTCCGAGGGCAGGTGCTGGACTCTGTGAGCGCTGGCTATGGAGAGGCCTCCTGTTCGGACCTGCCAGTGGGGGCTGGGGAGACCTCTGGTCTCAGCAGGCATGGAGAACAGCTCACTGAGGGGGTAGGCAGAAGGCCTCCAGAACAGTGGCTGTGACTTGGTTGAGTCCGGAGCAGGAGGCGGAGTGAGGAGAAAGGAGACAGTCAGTGGACGTTGGGCCCGACCACCCGTGTCCAGCTCTGTGTCAGGCTAGAAACTGTGGACTTTGGCTTCGAATCCCTAGAAACCTGGGAGGGTTCCGTTAGCATTCGATGCAAGGCCAGGGTCTCCCGGCTACTCCACAGCGCCCTCTCTGGGCATGATCCAGATGTTTTTGTTGTTGGTAAGTGCTGTCTGAGGCTCAGGTGCCCAGTGAACAGACCGATTTGGGCTTTAGATGAGGGCCAGGGAGGACTGAATGGCGGAACTGGCATAAGGGGATGTTGGGTCCCAGAGGAAGAGGTCACCCAACAAGCCAGGGGTGCCACAGGCCCCTGCCCCCCCCGGCCCAGCAGCCGTTCTAGTGGGACATTGTTTCTCAGTGCAGGACATGCTCTGGGGGAAGGGGTGGAGGCGCCTCCCTTCCTGTCTGCCTCTCTGGCCCTTCCTCCAGCCTGGCCACAGCAGGGCTCTGGCCAGTGTCCAGGGGCTGCTGGGATGAGGCCGAGGGGCCAGGAGACTGTCCCAGCCCCCACTGATGTGGTCATGGGGCCACCTCGGCTCCCCACGCCTGAGGAGGAGGGAGGGAGGCAGAGGAAGAAGACAGACTAGGGTGGGGAT